AAGTTGTGAATGCAAAGGAAAAATTCTTAAGGAAATTAAAAATGCTAAGCCAGGGAAAACATGAATGACAAGAAAGCAAAACAGGCTTTTGCTGATAGGGATAAAGTTTCACTGGTCTGGTTAGAAGATGAAACTGGCCACAAACATTCCCTTAAGCTAAAGGCTAATTCAAAACAAGACCTTAATTCTCTCCAATTCTATGAAGGCTGAGAGAGGCGAGGAAGCTGCAGAAGAAAGTCTGAAGCTAGCAGACATTGGTGCAAGAGGTGTGAGGAAAAAAGCCATCTCTAAAATATAAAAGTGCAAGGTGAAGCTGCAAATACTGATGTAGAAGCTGTAGCGAGTTATCTAGAAGATCTAGCTGAGATAACTGATGAAGGTGGTTACACTAAACAACAGATTTTCAACGTAAGTGAAACAGCCTGCTATGGGAGAAAGGTGCCATCCAGGACTTTCCTACCTAGAGAGGCGAAATCAATGTCTTGCTTCAAAACTTCAAAGAACAAGCTCACCCTCTTGTTGGGGGCTAATGCAGCTGGTGACTGCCAGTGCTCACTGATGACTCCAAAAATCCTAGGCACCTTCAGAATTAATGCTAAATCAACTCCGCCTGCGCTCTAGAAACGAAATAAGAAAGCCTGGATGACAGCACGCGTCTGTTTACAGCCTGGTTTACTGAATATTTTAAGCTCACTGTTGAAACCTTCTACTCAGAAAAAAGATTCCTTGCAAAATATCACTGCTCGTTGACAATGCACCTGGTCACCCGAGAGCTCCGAGGGAGATGCACAAGGAGATGAATGCTGTTTTCAAGTCTGCTAACACGACATCCATTCTGCAGCCCATGGATCATGGAGTAATTTTCACTTTCAAGTCTTATTATTTAAGAAATGCATGTTGTAAAGTTATTGCTGTCATAGATAGTGACTCCTCTAATGGATTTGGGCAAAGTAAATTGAAAAGCTTCTGGAAAGAATTCACCATTCTAAATCCCATTAAGAACATTTGTGACTCACTGGAGGAAGTCAAAATACCAACATTGACAAGAGTTTAGAAGAACCCTCATGGATAGACTTCAGGGGAGGAAGTCACTGCAGATGTGGTGTAAATAACAAGAGAACTAGAATCAGACGTGGAGCCCAAAGATGTGACTGAATTGCTGCAATCTCATGATAAAATTTGAATGGATCAGGAGTTGCTTCTTATGGATGAACAAAAAAAGGGGTTTCTTGAGATGGATTCTACTCCCGCTAAAGATCCTGTGAATATTGGTGAAATGAAAACAAAGGATTTAGAATGTTCCATGAACTTAGTTGATAAAGCTGGGCAGAGTCAGAGGATTGAGCACAATGTGGGAAGAAGTTCTACTGTGGGTGAAAAGCCATTAAACACCAACGAATGGTACAGAGAAATCGTTCATGAAATGAAGAGTCGATTGATGGGCAAACTTACTTTCAGAGATTGCCACAGGCACCTCTACCTTTAGCACCCGCAGCCTGATCAGCCAGGAGCCCTCAACAACCAGGTAAGACCCTCCACCAGCAAAAAGTTATGACTGGCTGAAGGATCAGATGATCATTAGCATTTTTTAGCAATGAAGTATTTTTAATTAAGTTACATATTTTTAGATGTTATTATACTATTATAATATCATCTAAAT